TTGCACAACACAAATGCTTTGCCAGGGGTTGGCAATAGCAAAACTGATACCTGGGAGCACTGTGTGCTCTAGATATTCAGGTCTCTCGATGGTCTGGACAAAGAAGTAAAGCTCTGTTAGCTCAGGGGTGTATGTAACTCTATCGCAGCTGGTTCTACCACAGGAGGGTGACAAAGTTGTACTGGGTTCAAGTGGGCAACTGGTTTTTGCATTTTGAAGTAATACAAATGCAATTTATCTGTGTGCATGTGACTTTCTGTAGTATTTAGATATTCTGTCATGTTCTAAAAAGGTGAGAGAAAAGTGGAGAAGAGAAATGGGGATGTTAAGTGACACATCAGCAACTCTAGATGTCTTATAATTTCAATCTATACATTAATTGTGGTAAGAGAGGCAATTTTATGCACGAGTGCAAAACTTATGCAACAGAATGTATTTTGTCATTAACTGAGTGGACAATTTTGTCACTATGAGCAATTTTTGCTAAAAATAAATAAATCCATTTTGTAACTAGATGCATTTATTTAGAAACAAGGGACGTCTGTCTGATTGGGAGGGAGTGGGTGTTTTGAGAAAGAGGTGGCCTGTGATTCAGAACTCCTTAGATCTATTCTTGGTTCTGCTTCTGAATCATTATTGGTTGGATTTTGAATCAGTGGAAAATGGGCCAAACTTTCTATGGCCTATAATGAATCACATCAAAGTAAAAGTCATGTTTTAGGCAAAGAATTTCTTAACCTGTCTTGAATACTGGAACACAAGAATTCTGGTGCAAGAAACAGGATGTACTACTTCTCCACTCCCTTCCCTTTGACTGCCTGATTCTGGGCATGCAGTGCACCTTCCATATTTGGTCAGTTTTATTTCCTATTGCTCAGTCAACATAAAAGTTTTTTCTAAAATCTGAGACTCTATATGTACCATGAATAGCAACACATATATAGAGAGTATGCCCAGAACTACTTTTCTTTACTTTTATTTTTGAGGGAGCAATTCTGAAGCTGATGATGTCCATTTTTGTATTAAAATTCTGAACATATTTTTGTTAAAAATAAAAGACTTAATCATCTTTTTTTTATAGTTATGAGGCTTTTTAGACAACTAAAATATTTCATGGGTAGAGAAGAAAGTAGAAATTCTTTATAATCATGAAGTCTCTTGTCCTCTTTGACTGCAGCCATGTTCACTTCATTTCAGATCACAAAAAACAGAACCTCCCCAGGTTATCAAATCCAGTTCCCAGTGTTCACTGGAAATCATAAAATTAAATAATAGGAAAAATCCAGAGTCTATTATCACAGTCCCCAGTATGTTTCCATACCAAATTTCTGACCTGGAGTGAAAACCCGGAGCCAGAACTATAATGTTTTGCTGCAAAAGAACAGCAACAAAAAAAATTAAGCTTATCTAATGTCTTAGCTTTTTGCAATAGGAAAGAGTAAAGCTTTCAGATAAAGCATTTTTTGGCAAATTTACCTGTTTTGGGTGTTCTTTCCAGAGCAAGAAGGATGTGAGATAACTAGAGGGCAATCCTATTTCCAGAGTGCACCAAGAGCCTGCCTTCAGCAGCAAAGCAGTATTGAACATTTACCTTTCATTCTTGGAAATACTTCCAGTGGATGGGGGAGGATAATTTAATGTGGTATACATCCCATTATTGCAGATGGGATTTGTGTGTGTGTATTTCAATTTAGACTCAACAATATGGAAGCAATTCTCAAAGGGCACCATGTTCTTTTTGCATGTATAGCATAATGCTACTAAACATTTGAATAACTGAATCAATAGAATGTATAAATAGATATCTCCTTTACCCATCTGCACAGCTACAATGTGTTTAATGTATTAATTAAAACTTTCAGGGAAAAGAAAAATGAAGCTTGAACACTAATCTGAAAACATTCTTTTTTAACATGTCAGGAGTGTACTGTACAAAACGACTTCCTTAACAACTTAATAAGTAAGTGAGAAATGTTGCAGCAGGTAGTGGATCTTCAATGATAACAGTTATTGCAAATGATTGATTAAAAAAAAAGACTTAGTTTAAATCTCTTGACTTGTGAAGACTTAGTTGTTCCCAAGGATATAGAAGTGATACCTGCTCTGGGTTAGGGGAGAGAGGGACAGGTTAGAAGTCCTGCTTTTAGCTCTAACACAAAATCAATCATCTGTTCTTTCAATGAAGAAATGTGAAATAGTAACAGGGACTACACATCTAAACCCTTTCTATGTTCATGTGAGCAAACATTTCAAAAGGTGCATTTGAGGTACATTTAATTAGAGTAGTCTAAATGTATTTTGAAATGTTCCAGTATGCTGACTCTTTTTAGTTTCACTTCCCATGAAATGCTATGCAGTGGGCAAAATTCTTCTTCCTACTAGTGTGAAAATGAGGACAATTCCTTGCTACTGTTGTTATTAAGGTAACTGAGCACAATTTGTCTCAGTGTAGACCTGCAAAACAATTTACTCCTGCGCCAGAACGTACTTTCTGTTCTGTGGGAGTTACCATTCAGCATTCAGCAATAACTCTCATGAGCAGCACTGTCTGCCATGAAATAAACTCCTTGTCTCATATGTCTACAATTCCCTGGAAGATTTATTTGACAAACAGAGTGCAAATACATTACTAGCCCTTAAAACTTTTCTGCATGGTCTAGCAATGTATATCCTACATGCCCTAGTTGGTGACCTCTGTTCTCAGTAGATTTTCTAAGATATGACTACTTTCAATTGCAAGTCCCATTTCTGGAACTGAACTTCTCCTCAGCTGAGAACCTCAAATGAGGATGTAACAAGCAATAAATGGCATAGCATACTAATGTAACAGGTAGTGCAAAACATATGAGGTGTCAGGTCACCCTAATATTATTAGGACACAGGCTGGACTGTAGTAGACAGCTCTATATTCCATGAGGATTGTGAAGCCCAGGATAATGTATAAAAGAATGAGATGCTTCTACTGCAGCGGTGCAGAGTAGGTTTAGTCCCAGCAGTTTGCTCTGCTCTTCAGTCTGGACCACAGAACAACGGTCCCTTGTGAGACAATAATTTGAAAAGTCCTCCCCACGCTGTAGTCAGATCACATTACTGACAAGTGGGGGTCTAGTTGTGGACAGAGGGAGGGAGAGAAGCTTCATACTGTGAAATCCTGCAACATCATTCCTGTTTTGTAAACTAACATGTTTTCATATCATAGTTGTACTACTTTTTTTTTTATTATTTCACCATGCAATACTCAAATGGTACTATGTAGCACAACTGAGAGCTCTAGTCTGAGTTGGTCCTTGGACACTCCATGCCCAATGCACTCTTATTCAGTCAAAGCTGAATGTCTCTCATTGTGGATATAGTCAGGACTGCCAAATAATATACAGAGAAACTGCATGTCCCTCCCTGTAATGTAGAAGCTTTATGAAAAATCAAGAAATCCCAAGCCCAAAACCTCTAAGCATAAGGAACTTGCAGCTGTCTGGAGCTTTTTGAACAAAAATCCCCATTTTCTTGAAACACAAGGACCATGAACTTCCTTTAAAAACGAATGAACTAAGGTTCTTCTGTAACAAAATAACTTGAAGAGTTGGGAATTTTTGAGGATCTCTAAACAACACAAGACTGTAATCAGTATAAAAGATGAGACAATTCAGGTCTGTATAGGCTAAAAAGGTTTGATCTACTCCTGCTGTTGATACATCGACATTAATTTTGGTGTGACTGTGGTCAGCACTAGTAGGCATTTGAGTAGTGGTTTATGACAAATACCTATGGATTTTCATATCCATCATCAGACTGTACAGGGAATGATGTGAAATCCATGCAAACAAGATGCAGAACATTGTATTTAAACTATTTCTGTGGTGCTCATATCAAACCTTTAGTAAATTATCCAGCTGACTGCATTTTCCTCTACAGTAATCTTTGAAAATTATTTATGTTAGGTATTATATGCCTGGTGATTCCCCATCTGACACAAGTTACTTTAGCATAATATTTTTTTAGTTATTGAAATCTGTATTTTGTTTATAGAACTTTTTAACAAACATTTGTTATAGCTAACAACATTGTTTTTGCCATGGCATATTAAAGATTCAAGACTAAACCTTAAGCTGGTGTAAGCTGATGTGGCTTCCAGTGAAGTCAATCCTTTAACTTTGTGAACACTTTCAGTCATAGCCAAGAGAAGAATAAGAAAGTCAGTGTAGTCCTTGTACCCATCTTATTGATCAGGCCTGTAATTGCACCAAGAAACAGAATGTTTTTAAAATTCTTTTGTTTGGGCCAGAACAGTTTAAGAAAAATGGATCTATGGCTATGCTATACTAAGTAGAGTGAGTTTCTGTGTATGGAAGGGGGCAGGGTTCGAAGCTAAGCAAAACCATTAATTTTAAAAGGGTACTTTAATTGAAACTGAGTAAAAAGTGGAAAATTATTTATCCAAACAAACTTTGTATCCTGTAAAGATGTGGGTACATAAAGCACGCAAGCCCGTTGCTTATTAGATTATTTCAGGCCTTCACAAGCTGTTTGCTTACTCCAATAGCAACTTGTTGATAATAGGAAGCCTTTTGTGAGAAATGGCCCAAAAAACAATGGAAAGCGTCAGATTTAGTAAAGTGTCTAAAGAAAGTCTTAAAATGACACCCACGCTACGAAGGGAAGACCAAATTTGCTTTTTCTGAAGGGAATTTGTGTTTGTCAGGAAGGGCTCCTGGCGGCTTTGTTTCCAGGCCTTGATGTGTGACCAGGAGCCTCCAGGCCTCCCGTCACCCCTGGCCTTGTTCTGCCACCGCGCTGCCCACCCATACCGACACCGCAGGGGGAAGGGTTTCAGAGGAGCCGGAATCAAAAGCGGAGGGAGGAAAAAAAGTGCTTTTCAGGGTCTGATGTGTGGGAATCAAATGAGAGGCCTAGCTGAAATCCGGTCGCCAGGCAACCATAGTGATATGCTGAGGGAATATCATTAAAGTTGGAAACTAAGCAGTCGCTCTGAATTAGCAAACCTGACCGCCGTGTGGATGATGCGCCAGAGCCACCTCAGCCCCCGAGCGCCGTTTCTGCACGTAGAGGGGGGGGAAAATAGCAGCTGATTTGTGGAGTTTTTCATAAAAAAAGACAATGGCTGTCCAGACACGGAGTTGGTGGTGAAATATGGTAACTGCCAGGCTTGCAGCTGGCCCTCTGACACAAGATTAATAAGTTGCCGTTTCCTAGCCGACCACAACCTAGTGGGAACTATCCGGCATTTTTCCATGAATTGTGGGTAACAGCCTTCCCGCAAGCTGGCCTACTTTACTGCTCTGCTTTCTGCAGATCACCCAAAGTGCAGTAAACATCTGTGGCTGCAATGAGGTCAGCGGACATGGGGTCCGGCAGCCGCCACCTGAGCTGCCCAGCCCTGTGCACAAACCCCAGGGCTGGGATTGACCCACGGTGCATCCACTGGGAAGGCGGCCGTGGCTGCGGGTTAAGCACTTCAGAAAGTTTTGCTGCAACTGGAGCGGGGAGGGGGTGGCGGGGGCCTGGTTCAGAAATGACAATGTGACAAGAGAGCGGGAGCGAACCTATTGAATTAGATTTAGGCTGCGCTGAATATTATCATTGACACGAACAAGCAAAGCTTATCTGCTCTTTCCTTCTTGAAAGGTTGAATGAAATTGAATTGCCAACCTCTGTATTTTACCACCGTTTGGCTGCAGTGGCTCAGAGGCATACATGATCGCTTAAAAGGAAGCCAGGTTGAGTCAAACTGCAAAGCGTATGTATGCGTTTTTGACAGCAACATCTCAAACACAGTGTGACATGGCATAACATTTAGAGGTAATTTGATTACAGGCACTGTGTAATGCAAATCAGACTTCCCCAAACATGTTAATTTTTTATCACAATAGCTCACCAACACAGTCAGGTTCAGTTTATTTTAAGGTTTCTTCAAGCTACATTTTATATTATATTAAGACATTGTAATATAGTTGTGTGAATTTGCCCACAAATTATAAAGAGCTAAAAGATCAGTGAACCCCTGGGGTTCTGTCTTTCTAGGTTTGATTTTAAATTGTTGATATGATGAAAATCTTTCTTTATAGTACATAGATATTAGAAGAGAATCATTTGAATGTCTCTTTAGGCATTGGAAAGAAAAGTTGCAATTCAAATATTCTGGATAGGAAAAAAAAGGGAATGCATTTGTAAGAGTCTTTAAGCTTCTCTATGATCTATTTATTCACTTAGGGGGGCCACATGCAAGTGAGTTGCAAATAATTTTAGATATTAATTTTTTGGTACATAGGCAGGACCTGTCAGAGTAGCTCTGAATGTAAAAGAGCAAGATTTGATGTTTCTGTGGGTTTTTTTCTGTCCTTCCGTGCACCATTGGTGAAACAGGTTACTTCTTTCTTATCTCAGTTTCCTCAGTTTTAGACAGTAAATTCAGATTCATAAATGAAAAATATCACAAAGAAACTATATTTGAATGATAATGTCAGCCTGGGAAGAATATACTTAAATTTTGAGCTTCTGTTTTTAGAAATTGCTTTGTGGAGCAATATTATTCTGATGATTCAAAGCTAATGAAACTTTAAGTGGTGACAGAGTCCTGCTGGTAGGATGTACCTCCCAAGCTGGAGCACAGCACAACCCCTCACATCCAATGTCTGTCAGATACCAACCAAAAGACTCAGCATTGGCTGGTGGTTACCGGCAAAATGCTGTATAATTGCTATTGAAAATCAGTTTGAAGTGAGGCAGCATTGAAGTGTCTTACTTGGTGGAATAGGAGAAACTGATGAGAAGTGGAGAGTTGGTCTGACACAGGTAGCTGAAGTTTGATCAACCCAGTGAGTGTAGAATGCAAAACCCACAGTGAAGCAGAGCTGAGCACAACCAGGGAGAAACCCTGGATGATGAGCACCCCAGGTGACAGCGCCAACAGAGTATGTAGTCCTTCACCCTTGCTTAAAAGGCCAGGTATCTTGTCTTGTATCTGTTATAGGTGAAAAAAATGTCCTAGTATCTACCAGCCATGATTGTTCCTTTCCAGTATGTGTGTCAAGGACTCCTTTTGAACAGGTGTAAAGATGCAAATAAAAGAAATATGCCCCAGTCACCGTTAAAGAGGAACCCAAAACATAAACACAAGTGAAAGCTTATATGTGGTAAACATTTCCAGCACCATCAACTGATCTATCACAATTTTACATGTATGCTTTTAGCTCTTGAAAATGTGAAGTAATTCATGTTGGCTTAGCCTTCTGCTCTGAATAAAAGGAGGAATTAGCTAATTCCAGTTACTTGAGCTGCCAGCTTAGAGCACATGCACAGACAGTTACCATGAATCAGAGGTCGTGCAACCACCTCTTTATATGTGAACATCCCAAGTTTATATGAACAGATCCCACTCAGTTATAATGAAAGAGGAAAAGTTTCCTTCAGTTTTGCATCCACAGAAACATTAGTGCTGTTTGCTGCCCGTGTGTCTTTTTGGGTCAGTGTAGCTTTTACATTTTCTCTAGTTCTTCATATAATCTCCAGCGCTTTCAGAACACAAATTTCTCTTGTGAGATTTACCTGGCCTGAAGTGATGAGAGAAGCTTAACAACATGGGGCTCTTTTATTTATAAGAGCATTCCTCTCGCAATCTCCACCTGTCACAGATGTGAGGATCAAATACGGCTCTGTTTCTTGTACATATTACTCTCTTATGTCCCAGTGATTCTGGACCTTGTGGATACTTAGAAAACAGGTTTTCCAAGAGCCTGAATGTTGTTGTCTTTAATTCAGTAAAAATCTGTCACATCTTATGGCTTCAAAAATATTCCTGATCTATCAATTAAGATTTACTTATACCCTATCCTCTGAATTATTTGGGACTACAAGGTTTTAGGTATTCTAATAGTGAAATAAAGTAAAGGGACAATAATTTCCAGTTACAGTAACAGTGCTTCATATTTAGTGTGGTGTGCACTTTTGAACAACAAGCGAATATGTTTTCCTGAACTGATTTAGCATTACCATGTGTGTTCTTTCAATCAAGTCCCCTCAAGCCTCTCTGTTTGGTCCTGTGGGATCTCTTCATCCTTTGCTGTTAGTTGGACATAGGTGGCTGTCACTACAGCAAAGCCATTGCATTATTTGCCACAGCCCACTCTGCAGCTTTTCTGGTTTCACTGGTTTCTCAAGTCATCTGGACTCTCTCTTTCAGCAAGGGGGGTGTCACCTGAATGACTATCGTCTACTGGAAGAAATAGCTCTCCTTAAATTGTGCTAAGAAGAAAACAACCTTTCTTTCATCACAGCCCTTCAGGTGTGAGGGAAGAGCTGGCTGTGCAGAGAAAGAAGTGACTTCCCTCATTTATGGGATTTCCAGTTATCGCAGCGTTAACTCAGACACATTTCCAAGCCACACAGCAGCGACTTGCTGCTCAGCTTTAAAAATCCACAATCAGTTTGCATCCGTGCCTGTCTGCCTTGCTGTGTGGCAGAGGCACAGGACAGGGTGAGGCTCAGAAAGCTCATTGGTTCTTGATGTTAACGAGAAGCCGATGTGATCTCCTGTGAGTGTTCTTCAATAAGTGATGAATGGGACATGTAAGCACAAGAGCACATCTTCTTGTTACCTGTGTGTACCTTTCTTGATATCAGATGTCTGTATTACTACTCCTTCCATTGTAACCTGGGATTGTGAACTGAATGTTCTTTATCTATTTAATAGTCTTATATAATTGAGTATCTGGAAGAGTAGAATAGCCTGGTCAAGAAACATCCTTCTCCTGTAGTCCTGAGCTGATGGGCTTCATTTGGGCACTTGAATTTATATTGCTTTTTATTTTTTTGCATCTTCTTGAAAAATAGTAATAAAAATCATAGCAGTGCTTTGGGTTATGTTCTGAATCTGCGGGAGGAGTAGCAGAGAGTGCTAAGATCTTTCTGATCAGATGCTTTCTGATAAGGTGAACACCCACTGGTTGTTATTAGTTCTGAGGGTTTCCTCTGTACAGCACAAAAAATCAGTTGCAGAGGGGCTAAATCTCCTGACTACTAATGTTTCCACAGACTTTTCTGTGGCGCCAAAGCCCGCAAGTGTCTAGTCTGGAGCTGGAAAGTTCTCCAGATGATCTTTGTTCCTCAAAGCATTTAGTTAGGATTTTCAAGTGCCACATAAAAAAATAACTGAGTAGCAAATAAACATGTAAACCCGAACAACCTATGCAGGAGGTAATATCTATATATATGTATATGTGTTATTACTAGCCTAATTTCTATCTTTGTCAAAAGTGTGCTCATGTTGCAAAAACTAACTTTTGAGAGTGGGTTTTAGACAAAAGAGAGCTGATGAATTGACTGATTTTATCTATACAACTCATATTTTAATAAAAAATAAAAACTGACACAGATAAAATAAATTACAAGAACATGGCACTGCAAAAGAACTATTCTGGGTTTCACGAGAAATTTATGGGACAGTTAGTTAAAAGGAATTACCTCATGGTCATCTTGCCATTTTCCTACTGCGAGTGTGAATGGTAAAAGGCAGATTCCCTGTGCTCCTGCTTTTCTTGGCCACCACTGCAGTATGTCTTGGGCTAGCAAGTTTGATCCATAAATAGATGTGATTTAACCCTTATGGTTTATTTTCTGCTTGGCTGTCAGTTGATGGCAAAGGGCCAAATGCTAACAACCATGATGGCTGAGCAGCTGGACCTGCATGCATGACATCTTAAAAATTACTTACATACTGTCCCCTTCATTGCAGTAGGTTGGTCTTTTCCTATTTGACTGGGAAGGTGTCAGAAATGAGATTAATATCCTTGGGGAAGAGACAGGGCTAAGGTAACTGCTGAAGTAAACATTCCTTTCAAATGATAAATAGTTGAGCACCTTTTTCTTTAATTGCAAAGTTTGAAAGGATTTCTTCTGCTTATTTCCCTCATCTACAATTTTCCTTTAAAATGGTAGACTTCTCGAATTCATCTAAGTCTTGGACAAGCTGATACTAAATTCTGCTTGTTGAATTCCTGTAGACTATTACTAAGGTGAAGGCAGACAAATTAATCTTTGAGGTAGAATTTACCCATCATAAAATCAGTAATGAACAGGAGAGAGAACTGTTTGCTATCACATGAAAATTAAAAATATTTTATACAAAAATTCTGGAAGCTTGTTGTTTAATTGGTAGAAAT